TTCAAACCCACCAGCCACTCCTCGGAAGGAAGGTTGGGCAATCCTACTTCCGTAGTGATACTGCCTCGGAAACCCAAGGAGGGGTCGCTATGAGTTGGGTTTGACTCGACGGCACATAACAACAACAACATTATAAGAGATCTAGGATTATTTTGTACCTTTCTTGCTCTGGTTTTGGAATTAACCATTTTCCTAAATAGCCCTAATTCTTTTTAGTGGAAAAGGATGTTTTGAGATTTTTATCTGGGTCCTAGGGTTGTCATTGTTTTTTTGGCTTTTTAGTGGACATTGCCAGGAGGACTTGGTTTTTTCAGGATAGTGAAAAATCCTTCATATGTTCATTTTGACATTTCTAATTTGCATTTGTGATTTCAGGTATTTGTATTTCTTTATTTTTTCACCTACCTTCTTTGATTTCTTATTTGTGTATCTTTTCTTATATTAGCATTCTCTCTTGAATCCATTCTATTGAAATGTCCTGGAAATATCAAAGTCCCCAGTGATCTCTACTTTTTAAAATTCATATTACTTGACTTATTAGCACATTTGACTTCATTCCCCTCAATACACTTTGTTTTCTTGGCTTGCAGGATGTCACATTCTTCTGGTTTTCTCCCTACCTTACTGACCTGTCCTTCTGAGTCTCCTTTTCTGGTTCTTCCTCATTTCTCCAAACTTATAAAGCTTTGGGTGCCTCAGATCTTTTCTCATTCTGCATTCATTCTTTTGTTATCTTGTCTCAGGAATTTTTAAATAATGTATATATGATGATGACTTTCAAATATTTATCTCCAGCCTAGACTTCCTTGAACTCTATTCAATTCTACTTGAATGATCAGCTGCCTGTTTGAGTTCACTTGGATATGTGATAAGTGTTTTAGATGTAGATGTTCCAATTGGAACTCCTTATCTTCTTCCATGGGAACTCTGGTAGCATAGTGCCTAAGGCACTTGACTGCTAACCAGAAAGCTGGCGGTTCAAACCCACTGGCCACTCCCCGGAAGAAAGATGGGGCAATCTACTTCCGTAGTGATACTGCCTTGGAAACCCAAGGAGGGGTCACTATGAGTCGGGTCCAACTCGACGGCACATAACAACAACAACAACAACAACAACCATCACTTTCTGTCTGGATTATTGCAGTAACCTCTTAAGTGGTCTTCTTGCTTCTATCTCTCTCTGGTTTATTATAAAGACAGCAGCCAGAATGATTTTTTTTTTTTTAAATAATT